GACAAAACTGATATTATCTTACTATACTATCTTTCGCAAAATCCTTAAAACTAAATCACATTCCTAATAAAATATTGAAGGATCGCAGTTTTGTCGTTCGGTGTGCTGAAAAGTTGCTATCATTTCGTTCTCTTGTTCTGTTTTTCCTCATCTACGTTGCTTGTGTTCACACATGAGCTAATTTTTGAAATCGCATCTTGAAGGACCACCACCAGGAGACTTCCACGCAGGCTTTCAGTTGAGATGTGCAACGAAATTCGTTGCACATCAAAGAAATATTTTAACACCAAGTTGGTGTTAAGCCCAAGCGTCTTTGCGTAAGAATCCTTCATTCTCTCCTTTTCCAGGAGAATCTTTCATTTTAGAGTACATAGGACGGTCTCTCATTAATTTATCAAGACGAAGGAGCATTTTCGACAGGCTCTTTTTCTCGTGAACTGAAATATATTTCAAGAGACCGCCGCGCGTAAATGTGAAAAATACACAAACAAAGAAAAGCATACGTTCGGAGCAACAGATCGTTAATGAAAAATTGCCGAGCTTAAAAAAGAAATGATACATCTCAGAAATTACACGCAGCCTCCGCCACAGTTGCAAAATAAAGATTTCTCGGGGCTTCACTTTTTACAACATGCAACATCAGAATCAAAGAAATGCGAAATATGCAATTTTTTTTATATAATTAGCCAAGTATGTTTCTCTCCAACGCGTTGCGCTATTTGAGGGAGGAAAAGCTGCTCGCGTTCACCGGCGCTTTGTAACGATTTAAAAGCGCAGTGCATTCGTCTGGCGGACGAGAAGGGAGAAAGAAAACATCACGATTTTCCGCGGGGACGGAAGCCGTATTGGTTTACGCGGCTCCAGCACGGGCGATTTACCGGGCGTATCACTTAATTTCGCAACGGCTTAATAATTGACGGTTGGATAATCGATGGTTACGCGCGATGGAATATGGTGCGCGGGTATCTATCGGTGGAATTATGTCAAGATCGAGTACGGCCGAGGTTAAATCGGATTTATAGCATCGGGCCGATTGTACGAGCGGTTAATCGGTACATCAATCACGGAAAAAGGAAAGAGCAATTACCTCGCGTTGCGCGCAAGCTATTAAGTTTTTATCACGATGTTCTTTAGCTACCGAGAGTAGCTACTCGGGATCAAAGCCTAATGTATGTACACGTCGGTTCATTCGCGGCGGGATTCAATCGTTATCACTTACTATCGATTTAACCGGCGACATACTTAATCTCTTGACTACCGCGGCGACATACGCCCGTCCCGGCTGAGATTCAGTGGTACATTATTGCGTATATTTATTCGCTTGAAAAATCACTAGGTCTAGCAGTTAATTTTTCCCGATGAAATTTGCACACAGTTCGGAGGAAATTTTGAAATTGAAATTGAAAATCCTCCCGCTCTTTTGCGGTTTTAAGTGTTGACATTTAACTCCTCGAAATGACACGTGGTTTAGTGGTTCGATGCACATAACCTCAAATAATCAGAATGTGTTCACGATGGCTATTAATAGAGAACATGTTCGATACGCGATGTATTTCGTACTTCACTTAACCCTTTGAGGCATAGTAGTAAGTATACTTGCTACCTGTTTATTCTCACATTTTCATGAAATATTTCATATTTGAGGGATTCTTCTTCTTCGGGTTCTTTGCGTTTTTTAGCTTCTTATATGATATGGGAACATGCATGGAAGGTTGAAAAGTGTTTTGTACAAGTTGTCCATTTATTATAAATAAACAAAGTGTGAAAAATATACATTTTTACAGAAAAAAATAATTTTCCACGAACTATGAATGAATTTTTTGCAAAAAATCGAGATTTGAGGGCTTCTTGGGTCGCTGATTACGAATCTGAGGTCCGAATTCTAAAATTTCCCGCCATCTTGAATTTGCTATCTTTAATTTTGAAAATCTGATAACAGATTTGTAATCAGCGACCCCAAAAACCCCACAATATCCATTGTCATCGAAATTATCGCGATTTTTCATATTTGTGGCCGCCATCTCGGATCCGCCATCTTGAATTTCGAAAATCTGATAACGGATTCGTTATCAGCGACCCCAGAAATACCGCCATATATAAATTTTCATGTGATTCGGATTTTCTGAAAAATACGTGCCTCAAAGGGTTAAACAAAGACGCTTTTGAAATAGCCAAAATGGTTTGAACGTTTTCGAAGCGGTGATTTTGGTCTTCGCGACCAACTGCGTCCCGATCGGCCAAAAAGATTTGAAGACGAGGAGTTGCAAAATGTACTGAATGAAAATACGGCACAAACACAACAAGAACTTGCGTAAAAGCTGGGAGTAAGCCAGAAAGTTATTATCTTTCCCAGGACTCTTGAGTCCTCGTGTGATGCGATAAATCTGTATTTTGTGCATTTTGCGCGACAAGTTGCTATTAAGAAATGAAATTTACGCAATCATTAAAAGCCTGCTCTAGAAAAGGACGATTGAACGGACTTGATAAAACTGATGACATTTTTGAGAAACAACTGAACTCCTCTCGAAATATTCCGTCTAAAATTCCGAAATTTATTATTACAATTTTGGATGTTGAATTAAGAATGTTAAATTCCTCTAGGAATTTCTCTCTGATATCCCCGGAACTAGTCATTATTTGTTCATCTAAAGATATGTTATTGAGACAGATAAATTTACGTCTTTCTTCAGGAAGACTCTCGAGCTGCCCAGATTGCAATTATTTCCTTTTATCCGCATCTCGCACATAGCGCGCACAATAAGCTATTATTAAGAAACGACGACTGCCGCCGGTCATTAGAAAGTATATTCGAGAGAGAAGAGGTGTGAATAGGCTCGATAAAATATCACGGCATTCTTGACGAATGGCAGACGAATGGCTTCTCCCCGAAGAGAGGACTGCGCTTAACACGCTGACGACATTCGACTGCTTCTTCCAGCACTCGCCTGAGGGAAGTCGCTTGACACGCGAGAGCAGCGTTCAATTCCTCCGTCCGCCATTCACTCGGGAGCGGCGTGGATTTGATAAACGCTATGGCGCTCGCTATTTAGACTCGCCGTGCGCGCTGCACAACGCGGAATATCGCGCGCAATAAATCGCGACGCCGCACGGGGGTGAAATATTCGCAAAAAACGCGATCGCGTCTCCTCTATTTACTGCTATCGGATAAACATTCGGGCAAGAATCTGACAGGTCGGACGTCGGATGGCGTCGCGCTTCCGTAGCGAAGTGGCATACTCGAACTGCACTTTATTTATTTCCCGGAGCCGCGCGCGCGCGTTGTTGGCACGATGCCCCCGTTGCATCTGCGTTATTGCTCGTTGTCGGGCACAACAGATTTCGTATCGGACACCCTTCGCAATGTATCGACTGCCGCGTCAATCGCAATGAGCGTGGCCGATTTAATGGACCAGGGATGATATATGCAGCAGAAGCTCGCTGCTCTCAAATCGCGAGCGCATCTCCGGCGCGCTTAATTGTTGCGGATGTTTCTCACCCGCGAGCTCCCTCCTCCCGCCCCTGCGCAGTGTTTCGGTTGTCTGGAGTTAACCTTCTGTGACGTCATGTAACTTGGAAGTCACGTACCGATGTGTCGATATTTTTAAGTCGAATTATACAAAGTGTTTGAAAAGAAGGGTTAAGGGCAGACGGTACTTACTTAGGAAATGAAGAAAAAAGCTTCCGGATAAGCGCGTGGGTCGAAAAATGTGTGTCGTCGACGTTGTGGACAATTATTTATTTTCATTTTAAAGCGAATGACCCACTCACTTCCGGCGCTTGCAAAGTTTACAGAAGATTTTCTACGTGTCTTCCGCCTATTTCTGCACCTCGAATATCTTTGAACCATCGAATTGTGAACTCTTTCAAAAATTCCCGGTTTTGTTTCAACTATTTGACAGGCATTCTGCGTTCTCCGATGTAATTCGTCCAACATTTAAGGAGGTCCTTCGGATTGAAAGATGGATTGGACTCCTCATGACCTCCTCGCTCTCCTGATTCAAATCCTCCGTACTTTTTTTATGAGGATTTCTTAGGAGCATGGTGTACTCTTTACCGATAAATGACACGGACGAATTACATCGGAGAATACAAAATGTCTGTCGAGTAAAACAAAGCCGAGAATTTTTGAAAAAGTTCGCAATTCAATTTTTTGAAATGAAAAATTAATTTTTTATTTTCTTTTTTTAAATAAAATCTTCTTTAAATAAAATTGTGAATTAACTGTTAACTTATATCTGTAAAAATTATCAATATAATAATATATAATAATTGTTAAAATTATTTGTTAATTTATATTTTATTCTAGAGATTAACATTTCACGTCGCAAAATTTTTTTCACACTCACGAAAAAAGAATTGAATTATAAAGGATCAACTCGCGTTCTCCCTCGCTCGTTACTCTCGTTTACTCTCGAGTTGCTCTCGCGACTTCGCGAGAGTTGACTGGATCCGCCTGGTTCGATCGAGACATCTTGCCGTGTAATATTGCAAGCTCCAAGGTTTTCGAAGGTAATTGAAGCCCAGAGTGTTAATAAACTCTAATCTCTCCTTCTCCTTCTCTCTTGGTCTCTACGCTCGACCACCGCGACAATCAGTCGCGAGAACGAGCAAGAATCGAGAAATGTCCGCCGACGAATTTCAACGAAGAAAGAACAAGACGCACAGAGGCAGCCGCGGTAGCCCCGGAAGCTATTCTCGGAACTCTCGAGAACTCTCCGTGCGCGCGCGTAAGAGAGAAAAGAGAGAGAGAGAGAGAGAGAGAGCTATTTCGAAACTCCGTCCGCCGGAGTGCACCTCCGCGAAAACCTCCGTCGTGCCTTAAACGTTCACGCTTAAGTGCATAAAATATAGCCGAAAATGCGAATGGCGTGTCTCTCGTGGCTCTCTTTCTCGCGAAAGAAATCCTCCATTTCACTCGCGCGCGCGCGCGCTCCGGTTCCCTCCGCGAGGCGAGCACTTCGGCGGAAGTTCCCTCTCGGGCCAAAGTTGAAGTCACTCACCGATTGGCACGTTGACAGCGAAGAGAACGACAAGGGCGCGATGGCAGAGCATTGTGCGCTGCGGTGAGAAAGAGAGAGCCGAGAGAATCGTCCGTCTCGATGGCGGCTCGCAGGCTGCTCCCTTTATCTACTTAACCCCGTCATCTTCTGCGCGTTCCTCCGTTTCCGGTGCTCTGACGCATAGCATGCCTGAAACAATCGCGGAGTTCGATCATTTGCTCGATCGGCCAGTCGTCGCGCACCGTTGTTCGCCGGAACGACCGCTTTATCGTCCGTTTCCAGCGAACGAACTTTCGGGCTCGTCACCGCGGAGCTTTGCATCTCTCTCTCTCTCTCTCTCTCTCTCTCTCTCTCAGCGTCGCCGTCGCGCGCGCGCGCTCTCCGCGTCCCTCTCCGCTCGAGCGTATCGCTTCGCTTCGTGACTCTCATTGATCGTATCGGCGATGAACTTCGCCGAGAGGGGGAGAGAGAGAGAGAGAGAGAGAGAGAGAGAGAGAGAACCGCGCTGCCGTTAATTTCACCGTCTCCGAATAAAAAATTACCTCGGCGTTCTCTTCGCGCGCCATTACGGTCTCACCGCGCGGTTACCGATCGTCGCGATCGCTTCTTCGCGCACGAGAGAGTCGGACGTTCGCGCGCCCCGTCGACGAAGAGACGACGTTGATTGTCGTCGGCGATTCGTCGGCTCGTTTCACTCGGTCGTACTTGCATCGCGTGGCTCAATGTGCCTAGCGTACTACTTTGATCGTGACGATGACGACGATGAAAACTTTGATCGGTGCTTACTCTCTGAAGACGTGAACTTAAGTGCCACGAAGATATAAATGTAAGATAACGTAGAGATGAAGTATCAGGTGATAAGTCTGATGGAATAACGCGCGAATCAGCGAGGAGTTTCAACGGAGGACACTCCGTGTAAGTTTGGTTTTTATCGGAACTTTTGTTGTACGCTGACGGGTGATTTTCGTCGAAGATAACGACGAGACGAGTCAGGTAAATGAGGAGAATTGTATAAAGATAATCCGCAAAAGACGAGGTTGTATATATAGGGTGTCCCATTTTAAGTGTCGTCGGCACGTATCTCGAAAAATATAAAAGATACGGACAAACGTTTCAGACCAAAGCTGTTTGGTTTGGTTTGAAGGGGACAGCGATATTATTTTGCTTACAAATGGCGCCATTTTCGAGAAATTCCCTCAACATCACTTTTCTTAAACGGAAGCCCCAATTTGTTATTGCGTCATCTTCTCCTACCAATTAATTCGAACAACTTTTGTCTGTAAATTTTTTTATTTGCCTGATACTTTCTGAAATATTAAAAAAAAACTTGATGAGTTTTTTCAATATCTAGCTGACAATATCTCGCTAACTATTTGTCGGAAGAAAAAGTGGCAGACCTTTTTACTCTAATTCTGTCTGAAGAATATATTGTTACAATAGTGCCCTAACTTCAGTTAACTTTTCGGTAACTTGATAATTTGGAAATTTCCACAGGTCAGTTTTTCCGTATCTTTTATTTTTATCGAGATATTTACCTGCGGCATTTAAAATGGGACACTCTGTATAGCATGAAAGATAATGTATGATTTATTATAATGTAATTCATTACGATATAAGATGCGAATCGTAAGTTTCTCTCATTTTCGAGATTACCGGCCCCAAGCTGTCTACCTAAATATATTTCAGAGTGATAAGAGAAACATTTTAGATAAAAGACATTTCAGAGGTTAGATTTCACGAATTAATGATACCACGGTGATGATTCATCTCATGTCCGTATTGAATTTTCATTAATGATTACGTTTCTTCTACACTTGTTCATTGCCTCGCACATACAGGGTGACCCATTCTAAGGGCCCGCCTAAAATATTCCGAGACAAATGCATTGTTCCTCCGACCAAACACATTGTTTGCTCGGTCTTAAGGGGACAATAAAACAACGACCTTGTGTGCAGACTTTTATCTGAAACATTTTGTCGAGCAATGTACTTCTTCGGGGATATTTCAGGTGGGTATCTACAATGTATCACCCTGTCTATATCGCTGTTGGCCTTATCTCCTATAATTCTGGATGTCGCGGAAAGAAAAGAGACGTGCTCCGCGGATCTGTTCCTCTTTTTGCCCCCCTCCCTTCCCCCGTCAAAGGAGCACGCGTGCGAGCCCGAAAGCGCACGTCTCGCTTTAGCATCGCGTTAATACAGTTTCATGTTCGATGAAGCTCAAATAACGTCACTCCCATTAACCGCGCCATTACGATACTATTTTACGGCGGGCGTTTTACAAAGTAATAAACGTCGCGCTAAATTTAATTACGCCGCCGTCGCAATTTTGATAAGTGGGGCACCTCTGTCAGTCGGAATAAGTTATTTTCGCGAATTTATAAATTATCATGAGCGCTCGCTAGAATTTACGGGGGGTAGGCGAGAGAGAGAGAGAGAGAGAGAGAGAGAGAGAGAGAGAGAGAGAGAGAGAGAGAGAGCGCGACTACGAGAATGCAAATAGCGCGTTTGTCACGTTTATGTAAGTACGTTGTCGCGTATATTCGGCGATAAATTGCTTCTAATGCATTTCCGCTTCAGACGATTTCTGTCGCCGCGAGTGAAATTAATCACGCGTGTCCGTCGTCCATTATTTTACGAGTCGCGCGCGCGCGCGCGCGCGCTACACACTCGGCGTGTTACACGCTCGGCGAAGTCGGCGATTTTATAAATCCCGCGGACACGCGCCGTAAGTTCCGCGCGCGCGCGCGTTTGTTACACGCCGCGAGCGAGCGCGCTGATACGGCCGGCGATGATTCGCGACGTGCTTCCGTTCATTATGCACGTGGCCGTTAAGCGGCGATAAACCGCCATTAATGCGACGCGGTTCTCGCTCGCTGGAAAATCCGGTCGTCGATCGCCATGAAATAATCAGAGCGCAACGTCCGGGACAATCGTCGATTGTCGTGTATTAATGACTGCGGGCGCGATGATTAAAATCGCAATTAAATGCACGTGCCGTAAGCGACGTCTCGGCGCTTATCCTCGATTTACGGCGCGGCGCGGACTTGTGGAACGGACGCGTGCGAGGCTTGAACGAAGCGCGGAAGATGTTACTCTTCTACGTATCGTAAGGATGACGCCAGGATTGGTGAGAAACATGTTTAAGATGAAAACGCACAGAAACGTTACGTGTTTTTTGTTTAAAACTGTTTTTACGTTTTAAACATGTTTCAAACGTATAAGGGCACTTGATTTTAGTACCGTTTGAATATTTGGCTTTTGATGCGGTTTGGAGCGGTCGGTGTTTTAATAAGAAAACTTTGTTCCTAGGAATTCATGAAAGATAATTTATTTTGCTGAACCACCGATTGTGTTCCGAGCCGCATCAAAAGAGAGTTTTCAAATTATTTCATTTAAATAAATTATGACATGTGTATATATATATGTATAAAATGTGATTTATTAAGTAAATATAGATATAATTTATAGAGGAGAAAGTGGTATTATGGCCACTCTCAATATCTGCGTTATTAGATAGCGCATTCCAATGATTATTTGCGGAATCATTTGTTTAGTAGTTCTCCGTTAGCGCAGTGACGCTAATATATCAATGCACAATAGCTAGCACTTTTTTTAACGCATTTTTATTTTCGAGCAATTCGAAATGTTTTTCACGGTACATTTTAGCATTTAATTTGACATGTTTCCTCATTATTTTTGAACTCGAGCGTGTTATCACACGAATATATGTGCAATTGAGTATTTTGTTTGTTACTTGACACTTTACATTCGGCTGTACACTTTCAAGTTATGCAAAGTTAAACGAAATAGCATAACATTTTGCTAACGTGGCCCCGTAAGAATGCTGACAAATCCTTTTTCGAGATTTTTATACCAAAGTAATTGTTTGATAAGTCGATTCTAATATGCAGTCCATTGTTGCATTTATGTTTATACTGCTGTCTTTCTAACAGGTTGTATTTTCTAGCAAATAAATCAATATCCATATTAAAAATTCGCAATTGTATTTATTATTATTCCCTTTTTAAGAGTTTAATTTGAATAAATATATAATTTCGTAACTAGATGCTTTGTATTATTTTAAACAAAATCAATTTTTTGTATCAGTTTTAGTGGAAGGCCACATTACTATCCCATTTTCTCCCCGACCCATTATGTTGTGTTGCCACATTTTTATAAATTCGGATTTTATAACATCCGAAGCAATAAACATTACATAAATTTGAGTCTATAATCGACACTGTGACAAATGTAATCACTCAGTTCTCACTTTAAAATACTGATTATTGACAAAGTTATTGTACAAAATGTGAATGGGGGGCCATACAATACTACCTTCTCCTCTACATATAATAATTATCTTTTTTAATAATTGTTTTAACAATTGTTTTAATTGTTTTAATAATTGCTGTTAATAATTATAATTTAATAATATATACATTTGCGTTGTATTGTATAATGTGCAAGTACATCGAAAAAGAATATATTTTGTAAGAAGATCAAATTTATATCATCAATAATTTCACGTCCAAAATTTATATTAAACGCTTAAAAACATATTTGAAAGTACGTATATGTAAAATTATCGAATGTTTAAAACAAGCCAATCCTGGATAAAATGTTTTATAAATAACATCCTAAATAATAAACATTACGTAAATTTGAGTCTATAATCGATTAAACAACACTGTGACAAATATAATCACTCAGTTCTCACTCAAAAATATTGATTATTGACAAAATTATTGTACGAAATGTGGAGGGCCATATAATACAATCTTCTCCTCTACATGTAATGATTAGTTTTTTTTTAATAAGCATGCAATAATGTATTTGCGTTGTGTTGTATAATGTGCAAGAATATGGAAAAATATACATATTGTGTGAAAAGATCAAATTTATAGAATAAAGTAAAATAAAAATTTTCGCCCCTCTCTCGTGACTCGACTCGAGCTATCGCGGTTTCTGAACGCGGCCGAATCGCGAATCTCGTCCAGGCTGATCCTGCCGCGATTATTCGGCGCTGCGATCGGCTGTATCGCGGCCGGCGTAATGAAATTCACACGCGTTACGGAGCACCGCGAGGCTGCATTATGCACGGCTATGAAAGTATGAGCAACTTTCCAGCCACGCTTTCGCTCCATAGGATGAGCCTGACTTTAGGTGCTTCCTCATAGTGTCCAAGCG